TTATATATTATTATATATATAATGACAATTTTTTCTCATTTTATAAAACTTCACTTATTTAAAAAAACAATCTTCCTCTAACTATGTTTCAATTAATTTTCTTATCAATTTTCTCGTATGCAGGAACGAAGAGATTATGAGAAAGAAAATGAAATATATGTGGCATACTTTATATAATTATCTTTATTATGATATAGATTAATTTTAAATTGAATTTGAAATATAGATATATAATTATTTTGTATTCTAAATCTCGCAAAGTTCGTTCAACGCTTCGTTCAAGAGATATTGACCTTTTAAGTTACTCTGTAGGGACAAATAATGTCAAAATAATTTAGATTTATTGCCTGTATTGCTTTACAATAATCAAAATATAATTATTACATTTTTGTCTCAAAAGAAGATAGTATAAACGTGCGAAAAAAGATACACAATCAGCCATTTGTGTCCCCATCGATAGCTGTAATGCTTATCTCGAGGCTAAAGGCCACATTTTGAACAAAAGGTGTAATAATTGCATTATTGTAAAGCAACAAAGGGAATAAACCTAGATTATTTCGATGTTATTCATTTCAATTTTAGTTCTATAATTTAAGAAGTCAATATTTCTCAAACGAAGCGTTTGTGAATAAAATTCCAGATGAAAATTTTTATTTTATTTGTTTTGAGATCCTAAATTCATATTTTAAGATTTAATCCAGGAACACTCTATACAATAGACTTTTTTACTGGATGCACTAAACACACACACACACACAGACAGACACACAGACACACGTATACATGTACACACTCGCGAAGTGAAGCGCGAGGCGACCATGTTTGTATATTTCAAAATCGTTATTAGTACCTGCCTGACTCATAAACCTGTGCCATACCAGAATTTTTTGTCTCCCTCGTTCTCCCTCTATTATTGTCCTTTTTCCGCTATCCCTTTTTCTCTCGATTCTCCCCTGCTGCGATCAGCTTTTAACGCGCAAAGTATTTTCTCTTGTACTTCTTTGCGGAAATTGATATATGTATGTGCAAGAAGCGTTTGCCGATTATAATTCAGCAAGGGCACTGACGTTAGCAAAAAACGCTTTATCACTTAAAATATATCAATATAGCGCTCAAATCGCGACGATAAAGTTTGAATTTGGCCAATACCTACGAATTAAATTTCCTATCCACAATTAAACACAGAGAACAAATATGATCAAGATATATTAGCGTTTATCAATGTCATAGCGATATCAAGCCTAAATGTTGTTGATACATAAATGATTATTAATGTCGATACAAAATTGGAGCGATTAAGTTAATCGCACTGCAGTAAAAAACACGAGTTGATCTTCTATACAAATTAAAAAATATGCAATGATGAAAAAGTATTTGGACTTTGCCTTATTATTTATTTAGTAATTTTTTGAGAAACGAAAGAATTTAATAGCATGCGATAACGAGTTCTTCTTAGTGAATTTTTTTTTAATCTAAGTATTCTTCAATTTTAATTTAATATTATTATGTAAGAGATATAGTAGTGACCAAATTTCTCCAAGTATCAGCCGCATGTTCTCTTCAAATTTTGCTGTTTTAAGATTTCTTGAGTATTCATTTCAGCCATATTAAATCGTGACATCATAAAGGAAATGTATCATTAAGTGACACGTTAATTTTCCTTGCATTCTATTTATTAATTAAGGACAATTTGGATAAAACGGAATAATGAGATCGCTATAAAAAAATTGAATCTTATTTGTCTTTACTTACAAATAGCATGCAAGAAAATGAACGTCTCATTTCCCGTTTATGATTCATGACTGTGGTGACTACTGAGGAGCCTTTAACTTTTAGTGATATGTGTATGACTCTAAATAAATTCGTCTTAATTACATTTTTATAAACAACGAACTTATTTAGAATCGTATATATATAAAATATTAATATTTCAAATTTTCGTTATTTCGTCCAATAATCGGATCATGTCCACTAGTGCAGTTACCTTACAGTGTTACACAGGGTGTCCCGAATTTAAACAAATATTGGGGGCGTGTAGGGGATCCATAAACTAAGAAAGAGTCCTTTAGAGATATGCTAGTTTTTTGCTTTATTTTGGAGAAAATCTTAAAAAAAGACAAACGTAGTTTTCATTTTTGTACTTATTTATTACTTATTCATTCATACTTATTTATTCACATTGTCACTTGCTTAATGCAGATATTAGGTCTATTCTTTTTAGCTACAGTTCTTGCACGATACATCTTTCTTCCTTTTCTCTCCACGTTGAAAAGAAAAAGATGAATCGTGCAAGTTCAACTAAAAAAAACAGGCCTATTGTTCAAAATATTGGCCTCTCTTGCACTCATCTTGTACGAACAGCTTGTGTTGCAGCAACATTGATCTGCCAAACATTGATCTGGTCTCGATGTTTCTTTCAATACTGTAAATGCTGTAATGCGGCAAATAATAAGGAAGAAATTTAGAATCGATATAAAGGCCGATTTTATACAAAAAATGAAATAGAGAGAAAATGTTGCTGCTACGAAAGAAAAATGCACGACAGATCAAAAAAGCTGGGTAAACATAACGTTGGCGATATCTGCCAACATAACTTCTTTCATTTCTTGTATCATTATTAGAGGAGGCAATATTATTAATTTCATTTCTTCAAACATTGATGAGGATATTAATCCGATATTCACTGGACGTCGATTGGTAGATTTACGTAGTCGCCGAATTATGATGTAAGTGTTATGATGAGAGCTTTCCAGCAGAGGCACAAATCGACACAAGAGTTCCGTCTTTGTTTCTTACTGATTATTGAACAAGAATAGAATTGATTCTTGTATCAATTTGTGTCTCTTGCTGAAAAATTCCCAAAGTAACACCCGCTGAAATACGCACAAAAAAACATGGGTTAGTTCTTATCTTTCATTTATCAATTACACTAAGAAATTTCTGTTATAAACTTCCAATAATGATTCGCCGATCCGGCACTCTTCTATCTAGAAATTGGCG